GGGGGGGGGGTAGGAATCACAATCAATAATTCTAGGAATTGAAAGTACAGGTACTAGAATGATTTTTAAAATAGTGAATTAGAAAAATGATGGAAGACTCCTCCTTGATACAGCTTAGAAAGAAAGATCAAAGGAAAGCATTTATTATGTTTAAAGAATCTGATAAGAGGTTGAAAACACTTTTAATCTATTATATATTGAATACCTACTGTGTGCCTGGTACTGTACTAGATAGTAAGAATAATGTAATGTAACAATAATGACCAGGAAAAAGTGGCATTTACTTATAAGATTTATGGTGGCTTCACCAAAATGTAGTTTAGAGTTTTCTAATCCATGACAAACCCAAAATTAAGCAAATAAACTAAGTAATAAAAAGCTGAAGAGCTATCTAATAAGATAGTATTTTACTATGTCCAGATGAGGAAAAAATGTTCCACTCTGCTTCTTAATGGAATAATATGACCCTTTATAGAAACCAACATTTAAAGTTGATTATTTATAGAGAATTATAAAAAAAAATCCAGACTCAGTAAACAGGGATGTGGACTGTCCTGGAATATATGCCCCTTAACAAACAACTGATATCCATCAACCATAGAAAGAGAGAAATGGATACAAGACCATTTAGTAATTTCTAACCCAGAAGTGTTCCTATTCAGCTCAAGGCTTCTGTATCAGAGATGACCCGTTCTTCTCCTACCTTCCCAACCAGACTGTAACTCTCACCTTTTCTCCAGTCAGAGGAGTTCTAGCCTACAGAATGGGACAAATGCTTTGTGCCCCTTCCAAGCCTAGATCTTAAGTGTCTCACACTTACATTGATGCTCTCACCACCTACCGACCTGGTGTAGAGCAGAGTAACCTTGGCCAGTGCTGAAGGTGGTACAGTCACCAAGATGGAAAGTATCTCAGTTCCAGTGCATGGACAGTGCTTCCATCCAACCGGTTCATTATTTTGAGTTTTGCATCATTGAAATATGTACAAATTTCCTATTCAAACATTATACATTTCGCTCTTGGTTTTCTTTTTTGTTGTTTCTTTTTTTTTTATCTATGACAGGTCATGTATACATGTCATAATAAGACTTAAGGGAGGCACATGTCACTCAGTTGCACACACACCCTGTTCTCATACTTACCAACCACAAAAGGTTCTCTTTATTAAAGAATAGCTAACATTTCCTTACCTAATACAGTATCCTTAAATAGAATTCCCCATCCAATTTCACTCCCATTTCCTGTCTGACTCATCCTAATGAGATCCTGTTTGTCACAATGCTATTGCCTTTAGAGAGGCATTCTTGCAAAAGAAAACTTTGTTGTTACCTGAAATTCTTCTCACCGAGATCTTTATAGCATATCTTGTCACTGTTCCAACTTCTTTTAAAGGAAGGGTATTTCTTATTTTTCTCTATAAGAAATCATATTAGGTGTTTTCTCCTCAACCAAACTTATTGACTTGAAGGGTCTCTTGCATGCTCCTGTATACATCCTCCAGAGCTACCATGGACCACAGCTAACTATTAATCACATCACAGCAGAGCCGCAAATGTGAAGTTATGTTTCTGATGTCTTTGCCTCCTAAGAAAAGCAGATACAGCAAAAAGCACAGAGGGATATGTGTGTGCAAACATATAAAACATATGTCAGTCCATGTTATAAACATCTATTCATATATTTATATATAAAGGAAAATAGGTTGACCGAAAATCAGTTATTTCCATGAATAAACCTAAAAGCTTCTTTTGTTGTTCTTATAAAATCAAAGAAACCTGAATGTGTAGCTATTTTTAAAATCCACACAGGGTTCCATGAGTGAATGGTCTCTCACTAAATTAGTAAATGAGCAACTGCAATGAGATTACTCTGGGAATCACACATATCAGAAAATCACTGTGCTCAGGAACAAAAAGCAAGCAACCAGACTTTTTAAAAGACCTTAATCTTCTGCTGCTGAGCAAACACATCTGTCCAGCTGAAGGCCACATATTAAATACTGATCTTTATGAGTATAAGTGAAAATGTAGACAATGCTGAAGGGTAATGCATTTTTAGCTTTTCATGGGATTTACACTGGAACCAGAAATAAGAGGAAGAGAAGAAAATATGATCTTCTTTATTATTTCACAGACTAAAAGAAAAGCCAGTGCTTGCTAAACAGAAAACGTCTAGCTACTGTGAACCCTAATGAGTGTTCTAGAACCCCAGACCTGCCTCCTCAGACCTCCTGCCCTGCTCTTACACAGATCACAGAGTATGTTTGTGCATTGCCTCATCTGCCTTCTCTTCACCTAAGATTTGTTGATCACACATGTGGTCCCAGGGAACTGGCTTTAGTAAATGTTTATTAAATGCTTGTTAGATAATCTCGGAATTTTCCTAAAACCATCAGGCCATTGTGATGAATTCTCTCCTTGTTATAAGTAGACTTGGCAGAATGGAATGCAAAAATAATCAACAATCATATATTGACTGTTCTGATTAGAGAGTATGTTCCATGAAAACAGAAATATTGTCTTACTCAGGGCAACATCCCCAGTGTACAAGACTAAATGATATAATGATGTAATAGGTGACATCACGTATTACAAAAGATCCTTGACATTTTCCCAACTCCTCTTGTCGGTAACTTGTTAGCTGTCTTCCACAATGTATTTGTTTTCTATCACCCTTATAACAGATTATTACACTTTGCAATTTAAAGAAAAAAAACTCAACTGTTTTGTTGCTTAGAGCTCTCTAGGCCAGATGGCTAGGTGGTCTTTAGCGTCTCGGCCCTGAATCTCACAGTGTCAGCCAGGTTTGGCCTCGTACATGAATGCGCTGAGAAGTCTCTACTTTCAGGCTCATTCAGGCTGTTGACAGAATTTGCTTCCATATGATGTTAAGTCTGAGGTCCTAGAGTCCTTGCTGGCAGTTGGCCGGGGTCACACAGCTTCTAAAGCCATCCACAGTGACTGACTAGCAACTCCCTTTGACTTGAAGCCAAAAAGCTCTCAATTTTAAGATTAGCTGATTAGCAACCAACCTTGGCTTTATCTGAAAAATCCTTTACAACAGCACAAGATTAGGTTTTGACCAAATGACCAGGGAATAGGAATTTGATGAGACATCATTAGAACTCTGCCCACCATACTTCAAGTGAGCAGTGTAGTCTTCCTGTAACCTTATCTTGGAAGTGATAGTCATTGCTTCTGCCTTAGTCTTAACTATTGGGCACAAACCAACGAATATAGCTCACATTCAAAGGGAGGGAATACATAGACTTCGGGTATTAGCAGGCAGACGCCCTTGGGGACTGTCTGAAAGGCACCCCTGTATGGGGAAGAAAGGTCATTACATCATTATCTGGTTCAGTATTTCCATTTTCACAATAGCAAATATCAATTTAAGCAAAATTATTATGCCATTAAACTAAGAGGAAAAGATTATAGGATAGAATAAAAGCACATTTTATAGAAAAAGGAAGAAGGCAAGCTAAGCCTTCCTAGTCAGCTGTGAAGACTCAATATAAACACCTAAAAATAGAGTCAAGAAGTAAAATCAGGAGCTGGAGAGACGCTCAGCGGTTAAGAGCACTGGCTGCTCCTGCAGAAGACCTGGGTTTGTTCCCCAACACCCATATGGTGGCTAACAGCTGTCCTTAATTCCCATTCCAGGGTATCTTACATCTACTTCTGACCTCCATGGGCATTGCATGACATAGGTGCACTTACATATATGTAAGAAATGCATTCATATACAAAATATAAAAATTAAAAAATATTTAAAAAACAGTTAATAATCATCATATTATCTAGAGATATGAAAGTAAATAATCTGGGACTATACCTCTGTTGATAAAGTGCTAGTCTAGCATGTACAAGCCCTGGGTTTGATTACCAGCACTGCAGAAACTAGTCATGGTAGCCCATGTTTTTAATCCCAGCACTTGGAAGGTAGGGCCAAGACAGAAGTTCAAGGTTATCCTTGGCTAAAAAATGTTTGATGCCAGCCTGGGATATATGAGACTGTCTTAACAAATTAATTAATTAATTAATTAATTAAATGTAAACCAAACATGTGCATTTGGCTTTGATCAAATTAACAAGGGGTAGGACTGGGCTGAAGAGATGGCTCAGCAGTTAAGAGCTCTTGCCACTCTTGCAAAGGACCCAGGTTCTGTTTCCAGCACTTACATGGTGGCTGACTTATAACTACCTTTAACTCTGGTTCTCCACTGGAATCTGCTACACACATATACATGCAGGCACTCGCATATACACACAGAAATAAAAAATCTTTTTTTAAGAGTAATGGGAGGACAAAAGCAGCCCAAATGGAAGAAGCAGGGCTGAAGAGATGGCTCAGTTGGTCAAGTACTTGTTTGCTATGTAAGCATGAAGACCTGGGTTCAATCCCCTACAACATAAAACGTTTGCCTGGGGATGGAGAGATGGCTCAGCTGTTAAGAGCACTGGTTGCTCTTGAAGAAGACCTGGGTTTGCAGAAACTACATGGCAGCCAACAACCATCTGTCAACTCCAGTTCTAGGGCATCCAATGCCCTCTTCTTTCCTCCTGTGTCCTGAGGTATAACTGTTCCTCCGAGGGGTGGGGCCTGCTGCAGAGAATTGGCTGCGGGAGAGTTAGCTATGGAGAGGGAGCTGCAGAGAGTTAGCCATGGAGGAAGGAGCGTTGGCACCATCTTGGAAGTGGACAGTGTGGAAAAAACGGCCCAGGTGTCTTGCCCGCGTGGACTCAAGAGGGGGCATTTACTGACCTGGGGCAAGACTGCAGGCCCAGGAGGCATGGGCGAAAGCTAACGGAGACTGTAGGCAAGGAGTGGAAGCGATCTAGAATGGTAGGCCACTGAGCCACAGAGCAGAACCAGCGCTGACCGTTCGCCTTTGTAAGTTACTCTATTTCCCCTACCCAGGATATAAACTATGAAAAATTCAGAAAAAGGTGTGTTATGTGGTTTGTCTACCCATGTCAGGAGCATGAGACTCTGAAGAGAGTGAGGGCAGGTCAAACAGAGCAGGAAGGAGAAAATTTCGTGGGGTTCGTCTAATAGCGCAGGAGCAAGGGACCCTGAGAGAACTTGGGCGACAGCTCCACAAGCACTGCATGACATGGGTGCACTTACATACATGCAAGCATAACACTTATACAAATAAAATAAAAATAAATCCAAAAAATTTTTAAGAGGTTAGTGTGGTGGTACATGAATATTGTCCCAACACCAAGGAGGCAGGGATAGAAGAATCCCTGGAGCTCACTAGCCAAGCAGTCTAGCTGAATCAGTGAGCTGAGTTCAGTAAGAGACCCTGTCTCAAAAAAATACAGAGGAAAGTGATTGAGAAAGACACCAACTTCAAGCTCTGGCCTAAACACACATGCATACACACACACACATGCATACACACACATGCGTACACACACATGCATACACACACATGCATACACACACGTGTACGCACACATGCATACACACATGCGTACACACACACACACACACACACACACGGAAACAGAGGAAAAAGGTGAAATTATTTGCAGTCAATAAAAACAACGTAGCATGTCTTTTGCTGAGACAGAAAACCAGTGGCCCAAGAAATAGGCAACAGGAGGAGGAGCATGAAGATAGACTATCACAACTCACTGGAGCTCGGACTATCTGCCTGGCTGCATGTTCAACCAGACTGACCCACATCTACCCTCCAGGCCTGAGACAAGTGGCCAGCCAGGACAGCCCGGAGTCGTTGCTGCCACCTTGAGGCTCGGTTTTAGTTCTGGACAACAACGCACAGCTTGGGGTTACTGGCGAAACATAAATGAGTCTAACTCATTTGCAGAGGGCTCTCTGCCCTTTCTGTTCTCATGAATCTATGTCCGTCCCCTTGTCTCTACTGTATCCTTCATTATTTCCTTTTAGAGGATTTTCCTGACCACCCAAATTAATTGTATTCTCATCTTCAGCCCCAACACTGTCACATCACCCATCTCGTTTTATTCCAGCATACGTCCTGAACTGGACTTATATTACAAATGCCAACATAGATGAGTTGTGCAATAAAAAATCACCTATGAAATAAATGGATTGGGAAGTGTACTGGCTTGTTTCGTTGGAATAATATTGTACAACAAAACTTGATGTCTTCACACAAGCATTT